CCGTCCTCGGACACTGTTGTACTGCCCTGTGCCTTCCACTTATACCACCATGTTAACAGGTGAATTATCCGTCCTCGGACACTGTTATACTGCCCTGTGCCTTCCACTTATAATACCACAATGTTAACAGGTGAAGTACCCGTCCTCGGACACTGTTATACTGCCCTGTGCCTTCCACTTATACCACCATGTTAACAGGGAAATTATCCGTCCTCGGACACTTTTATACTGCCCCGTGCCTTCCACTTTATACCACCATGTTAACAGGTGAAGTACCCGTCCTCGGACACTGTTATACTGCCCTGTGCCTCCCACTTATACCACCATGTTAACAGGTGAAGTACCCGTCCTCGGACACTGTTATACTGCCCTGTGCCTTCCCACTTATACCACCATGTTAACAGGTGAAGTACCCGTCCTCGGACACTGTTATATTGACCTGTGCCTTCCACTTATACCACCATGTTAACAGGTGAAATTATCCGTCCTCGGACACTGTTATACTGCCCTGTGCCTTCCACTTATACCACCATGTTAACAGGTGAAGTATCCGTCCTCGGACACTGTTATACTGCCCTGTGCCTTCCACTTATACCCACCATGTTAACAGGTGAAGTACCCGTCCTCGGACACTCTGTTATACTGCCCTGTGCCTCCCACTTATACCACAATGTTAACAGGTGAATTATCCGTCCCGGACACTGTTATACTGCCCTGTGCCTCTCCACTTATACCACCATGTTAACAGGTGAAGTATCCCCGTCCTCGGACACTGTTATACTGCCCTGTGCCTTCCACTTATACCACCATGTTAACAGGTGAAGTATCCGTCCTCGGACACTGTTGTACTGCCCTGTGCCTTCCACTTATACCACCATGTTAACAGGTGAATTATCCGTCCTCGGACACTCTGTTATACTGCCCTGTGCCTCCCACTTATACCACCATGTTAACAGGTGAAGTACCCGTCCCCGGACACTGTTATACTGCCCTGTGCCTATCCACTTATACCACCATGTTAACAGGTGAATTATCCGTCCTCGGACACTGTTGTACTGCCCTGTGCCTTCCACTTATACCACCAATGTTAACAGGTGAAGTACCCGTCCTCGGACACTTTTGTTATACTGCCCTGTGCCTCCCACTTATACCACCATGTTAACAGGTGAAGTACCCGTCCCCGGACACTGTTATACTGCCCTGTGCCTTCCACTTATACCACCATGTTAACAGGTGAAGTACCCGTCCTCGGACACTGTTATACTGCCCTGTGCCTTCCACTTATACCACCATGTTAACAGGTGAAGTACCCGTCCTCGGACACTCTGTTATACTGCCCTGTGCCTTCCACTTATACCACCATGTTAACAGGTGAAGTATCCGTCCTCGGACACTGTTATACTGCCCTGTGCCTTCCACTTTATACCACCATGTTAACAGGTGAAGTATCCGTCCTCGGACACTCTGTTGTACTGCCCTGTGCCTTCCACTTATACCACGATGTTAACAGGTGAATTATCCGTCCTCGGACGCTCTGTTGTACTGCCCTGTGCCTCCCACTTTATACCACAATGTTAACAGGTGAAGTATCCGTCCTCGGACACTCTGTTGTACTGCCCTGTGCCTTCCACTTATACCACCATGTTAACAGGTGAAGTACCCGTCCCCGGACACTCTGTTATACTGCCCTGTGCCTCCCACTTATACCACCATGTTAACAGGTGAAGTATCCGTCCTCGGACACTCTGTTGTACTGCCCTGTGCCTTCCACTTATACCACCATGTTAACAGGTGAATTATCCGTCCTCGGACACTCTTTTGTACTGCCCTGTGCCTTCCACTTTATACCACAATGTTAACAGGTGAAGTACCCGTCCTCGGACACTCTGTTGTACTGCCCTGTGCCTTCCACTTATACCACCATGTTAACAGGTGGAGTACCCGTCCCCGGACACTCTGTTATACTGCCCTGTGCCTCCCACTTATACCACCAATGTTAACAGGTGAAGTATCCGTCCCCAGACACTTTTGTTATACTGCCCTGTGCCTCCCACTTATACCACCATGTTAACAGGTGAAGTACCCGTCCCGGACACTCTGTTATACTGCCGTAAAGAAACATATACATGGTTCCCAGTGGGAATTCTAGTTAACATGAGTAAAGAAACATATACATGTCTCCCAGTGGGAATTCTAGTTAACATGGGTCAAGAAACATATACATGTCTCTCTGTGGGGATCCAAGTTAACCTGGGTCAAGACACATGCTCGTCGGACTCAGGATTAAAGTTCCGTCTTAGTGTCAATCATTGGATTTGTTATCCATACCCAAGTGTATACCCATCCACGTTGTATGGCTAGGGCATTGCTGAGGGCGCCACAAAGCAACAAAGTCATTTGTACAGTGGATTAATTTATTTACAACAAATATCTACAGCATGATAAATGATTGAGTGGCCCTTTTTAACTTGAAAAACAATGATAGCATATTTGTACAGCGCATATATCATGCCTAAGCATGCTCAAAGCGCACAATCAGAATCTGACTATTATTACCCCGGTTAACCCAAACTGCCTGTGAAGCGCAAGAAGGTTGTAGTCACATGACTCATATCACTCATGAACAAACTCACGTGCCTATAGTGAAACCACATGTATCACATGTGCTTCATTGTGGGACAGGACTGACGTCCTAGAAACTCTCAGGAGTCAAGCTACCAAACACGGTCACCCACCCAAGGACTCTCCGAGCTCGACGCTGCTTAATTTCAACTGAGTTGTGACCTGAGCTCTATGCTTGACATCACGCTACAATTTACTATGTTAGCAAAACTATGACTATATCTAATTTTGAGTAGTCATTGTGAACAACCGATCCCACACCTTGAGTGATATGTACAGAAATCAAGGGACAAAGTTTAGTAGCAATACTAAACTAGTTGAGCTGTTTTCCAGCTCCATGTAATATGATCTGCCTATACAACACCGGTTTGACTTGGGCCTGCTTAACATTTACTTTACCGTAACAGAACAGTGACAATTTCGTCTGGATCTTTGTGATCCATAAAATGTTTAGATATCTTTCAATAATAATAATTAATCTCAGTTTGTAATTCGGAAAAGAAATTCTTTAAATTATCATTCTATTTAGCAAATATCGTTACTTTCGGAATATCTTAGCCCATAACATCAAAATTCGTTACAAAAAGAACAATATGTTTTAATGAGTGAAAACAATAGCTAAGTAAAACATCCGATTCTTGCTGTGTAGATTACACTAAATGAAAAATCATGTGCAGACATCGTCTGATTCAATATTGGCACATTTCCATTCAGATAATACAAACTATATTAGTGACGAAACAATGTGATTTTATCTGATCCGGTGGAATACTGTTTAAGGTTAACACACAGCGCCATATAGCATTACTCATGAATCCCCCAAGTTATTGTCCCCTGACAAAAGCTTATTGAAAGAAAGGATTAGGATCGATATGTTCACTTACTTACATGTAAACACCTTTACTACATCTGATGTACACAAGTACATACAACCACGACCACCAACACACAGTCCCAATGGACAGTAGACACCATCATGTGATGTCAGTATGTTTCTAATAAACTGTCCTGACTCTGTCAGATGGGTGACTCTGTGTTGTAGGGAGTCTGTCACCAGGATGTCGCCTGTGCTGGTTCTTGTGATACCCCGTGGAGACTTCAGTGCTGTGTGTCCTGTAGGTCTGTAGTTGAACACCACATCTCCCTCGGGGGTCATACACACGACAAACTTGGTTCCTTGGTCAGACACCAGGATGTTTCCTGTTCTCGTGGTACAGAGAAAGATTGGGAACTTTAAGATGTTTCCACGTCTGTGGTCTCGACAAACTGACTTCAACACGTGTCCCGACATATCCAGGATATCAACAAAGGGAGGGGACTCGGAACATGCTGCTAGTGTTGATGGTGTCAGAGACGTTATACCCCAGTACTGTTTGCTGGTTGTGATGGTCGACAGTAGCACCAGGTCAGGGGTCACTTCAACTGTTACAATCTGACTGGTATCCGGCACAGTGACAGCCACCTGGTTGTGTTTCAGCCTTGTTATACCCCATGGTTCACCTTCCAGACTGAGCTTGCTGTGACCCGGCTGACTGTTCCTGGTGTAGAAGGACTTTACACTGTTGTTGTTGAAGTCTGTAACTACCACTGTGTCTGTACCATTCACCTCTAGCACCGCCACGTCACTGGGGAATCCTCTACATACATCTCCTGCTACTCTCACAGTAATGGTGTCCTGTAACACAGGAGCAGCCTTCAGGTCCAGCACATTAATGGTGTCCTGTAACACAGGAGCAGCCTTCAGGTCCAGCACATCGTCATACTGGACGTGTATCTCACCCAGAAGGAGATCTTCAATTGCTCTACTCAGCTTGTCCGTGTCCTGTCTGAATGTTATCCTGTCTATTCTTCCCTTCTGCTTAACGTCTACGACTCCGACAGCATCTACATCACCGGCCTCACAGCCCTGATACATCTCATACACATCCATGTCACACTCAGATTGTAGAGCCTGGTCTATCAGCTCAGTCTGTTGTTGGTACATCTGTACGGACATCTCACCTGACTTTCTGCCTGCCTTCAGTTGTCCAATGTGTCTGTCAGACATCTCTTTCAGTTCAGACAGAAGTTTCCGTTCCTTGGCTTGGATCACTTCTATTGCTGTGAGACTTGCAGACTTGATATTCGATTCTAATTGCAAATAATGCGTCAATTCTTCATCGACTTTGCAGGTTTGTTTTTCAACATGTGTTTTCATCTCATCGTGTTTCTTTAACAAATTCTCTTTATTCTTTCTCAGCTCGGTTTTCATTGCAGGAATCTCTGACTCAATTTCAACAACCATGTCACATTTCCTATGATGAATAATGCAGCATGTTTGACACACAGCTGTTTTACAATCTTTGCAAAGATATTTGATATTCTCGTCCTTGTGAACTTTACACATCGTTCACATAGTGCGTCGTCACAAACAGAACACCAAGACGTAGCTGGAGTTGTCTCCCCTTCCTCCTTACAATAACTGCAGAAGTCGTATCTGAAATAGTTATGCATTCATTCATTATGGAGTTGTTTAACTTGTGATGTCGCCATGCATTATAGTACTTCGTGTGTTGCATCATGTAAGTGACTCACATGAGTGAGAAAATGTAAGATATATAGAAAATCAGATATATATACCAGTCTCAGGTTGATATGTTATATCATTACTCTTGGATTTGTTCCTCTGGTAAGGGATACATGGCCCTCAAGTCATGTTTATTTCTACCACTCTGTTATTCGTTAAGCACACGTACACAACAGGATTATATTTTCAAACACAAAACGTTCAAATAACATTGTCAGTGGTTTTAGATAATTCACAGAAACAACGAACTATCTTCTCAACATCACACACATTCTTAAATCGCAAAATGCAATTAAGTGTGTAGATAATTGTTTAGAAAGAACACGTATACTCATACAACCCACAAACACTCACCTTTAGATCCGGGGCCAAACGAGTCCAACAGTCCCTGAATGACAAAGATAGGCTTGACGTCATCCGCCCACTCATCCACTAGTCTCTCGGGGGCAGACACTTTCGTCATCTTGCTGCAGAATGGACACAGGAGAGACTTGGCATTGATGGCTTCTGGTCTGGTTTTGGTGTAGTTGACGACACATTTCCGACAGAAGGTGTGATTACACACAAGTGTACATGGTTTGTCAAACACCTCTGTACATATGGTGCATGTCAGGAAGTGTTCTGTCAACTTCTGGGAGGTCGCCATCTCTCCTACAAAAAGATCAACCAGACATAAGATACATGTAACCATCAACCCAAGCCAAATATCTTTTACACAAACAACTACTTTATCTGTGGTCTATATTTAGTGTCTTATTCGGAAACAGGAAAAGCTATTTTGTACCCACACATCCGCACGTTTGGAATCAGCCAGTTCGGCAAAACGTGAACCAATATCTGAACGAAAAAATAACCTTCCAATTGACTGTACATGTCTCATGTTGCTCCTAATCACTGTACACATTGATGGGTGTCTTCCTACCACTGTTTTCATAAGTGACTTCCAATCCATTTATATCCAATCAATGTCTATCCTTCTCTTTGTATCTCTATACCAATCTATTGCATGGACATCACCACTTAATCCCTCTGAACTCTGTACATCTCAGTCAAAATAAAATCATCCCTGTATTTTATCAAATGGTTTGATAGGCATTCAAGACGTTGGTGAGTCAAAAATGAAACATATAACTTTATGGATGACAGCTTCTTGATTTATTTCATAGAGCGACGTTTCGATGTAGATTCATACATACATACATTGTTATTATTGCCTTTGAATGTCGTAGCGCTACGAACGTTTTGTGGATCAGGGCCCAGGTTTGTAACTCGCACTCTGTCAGGTACGTTGTTGTTGTTGTTGTTTTGTTGTTGTTGTTGTTGTTGTTGTTAAATAGGTGGTAATAGCAATTATGGAATTATGCTTATTTCCGGGTATAGCTCATCTGACAAAATAGGTGCTCTATGGAGTCCCTCTTCAAGTGGCGGCCAGGGCACGTGCCATACTTGCCATACCTCAGGTGGGCCACTGTGTTCTGTGAGCAGCTTGTCAGTGGTGTTTATCAACTCGTCGTCACCAGCTTTACAACAAGAAATATCTGCAGTTATGAATCGTGTGTAGCGTGTCGATCACCTGACAGAGATACATGGCGACACCCGCTCATTACCATATCGAAAGTAGGAGACGTTAAGTTCGGGTTCCTCTACATTAGATCTAGAGTGATATGGTTATGTAAACATATTTTACCATACTTTGTGCTCTAGCATTTATCAGAGATCACTTCATTAATATCTTCAACATACATACATGATGCATACATCGGGACAGATATCAGTATTGAAATCAAGAGGCCGATCAAGAAAGTAATGAAAGTAGATACTTTATACACTATGCTCAGTCTAAATATTGCAGTATATTAGGTGCCCGGGTTTGAGAATGTGCCTGTAGATGACCTAACAGTTAGATGAACCATTGTGGTGTTACCTGTACACAGCAGGACAGGTGTGTTGCGTTCTAACTGGAATAGACGCAGCCCCTGTGACAACACACTTACCTGAGACAGCTAGGTAACCGGTGTAGAGGGAAACTGAGCACCAGGCGAGATAGATCCCGGAGTGGGCGGAGTCTGCTTATGTCGACATTGACAACGGCACGAATGTTCATGAAAGAACATGGTCATGGTGACTATCTCGGGGGCTTAATTCAACTGCATTTATTATTCCTCCTGGGCATATACGTATGCAGGCATTAGTAGATCTCATCGAAGAGGGATTTTGTGTGTTGTAAATGCTCTGAATGCAAGAAGGTTACAAGCAGACCCACATACTGTTCAGTGCAACGCGGGGAGTCATTGCAGTCTTGTACACTCAAGCAGCGGGAAATTGTTGGTGTGTTGAATCATGTTAGCAATATGTGGCGGAAAAAGACACATAGTGCACATATAACATGATATACACATGTCAATGCCCGATAACTGGACACTCTGTTGTACTGCCCTATACCACGATGTTAACAGGTGAAGTCCCGGATACTTTTGTACTGCCCTGTGCCTTCCAACTTATACCACCATGTTAACATTGAATTATCCGCCCCGGACACTCTGTTATACTGCCCTGTGCCTTCCACTTATACCACCATGTTAACAGGTGAATAATCCGTCCTCGGACACTTTTGTACTGCCCTGTGCCTTCCACTTATACCACCAATTTTAAAAGGTGAATAATCCGTCCTCGGACACTTTTGTACTGCCCTGTGCCTTCACCTTATACCACCAATTTTAAAAGGTGAATAATCCGTCCTCGGACACTTTTGTACCGCCCTGTGCCGTCCACTTATACCACAATGTTAACAGATGAAGTATCCGCCCCGGACTCTCTGTTATTCTGCCCTGTGCCTCCCACTTATACCACCATGTTAACAGGTGAATAATCCGTCCTCGGACACTTTTGTACTGCCCTGCGCCTTCCACTTATACCACGATGTTAAAAGGTGAATTATCCGTCCTCGGACACTTTTGTACTGCCCTGTGCTTTCCACTTATACCACCAATTTTAAAAGGTGAATTATCCGTCCCCGGTCACTTTTGTACTGCCCTGTGCCTCCCACTTATACCACAATGTTAACAGGTGAAGTATCCGTCCTCGGACACTTTTGTACTGCCCTGTGCCTTCATCTTATACCACCAATTTTAAAAGGTGAATTATCCGTCCCCGGTCACTTTTGTACTGCCCTGTGCCTCCCACTTATACCACAATGTTAACAGGTGAAGTACGCGTCCTCGGACACTTTTGTACTGCCCTGTGCTTTCCACTTATACCACCATGTTAACAGGTGAAGTTCCCGTCCCGGACACTGTTATACTGCCCTGTGCCTCCAACTTTATACCACCATGTTAACAGTTGAAGTACCCGTCCCCGGCACACTGTTGTACTGCCATGTGCCTTCCACTTATACCAACATGTTAACAGGTGAAGTACCCCTCCTCGGCACACTGTTGTACTACCCTGTGCCTCCCACTTTATACCACCATGTTAACAGGTGAATTACCCGTCCTCGGACACTCTGTTGTACTGCCATGTGCCTCCCACTTATACCACCATGTTAACAGGTGAAGTACCCGTCCTCGGACACTCTGTTGTACTGCCCTGTGCCTTCCACTTATACCACCAAGTTAACAGGTGAAGTACCCGTCCTCGGACACTCTGTTGTACTGCCCTGTGCCTCCCATTTATACCGCGCTGGTAATATGCGAATTCCTCCCTCTTATATGTCACCCTAAACAGGTGAATTACCCGTACACGGACACTGTTGTACTGCCCAGCCTCACCCACTATACTCGGACAATCATTTGTCTCTCACAAGATCCGTGAGACCACTTCTGTTCAGAATTGCTGGGGTGCTCACCCCAACTTTTGTCCTGAAACTTTAATAAATGACATTAAAACTCTCGTGAAAACGGGTGAAAATAAACTGTGCACTCCCCCTTAACACCTTCTTATCAAAAAGCTGTATCCGCCCCCGCTTAATGTATCTCGAGTGATTATGAACAACATGTGTATAAACAACATGTTAATCAATGGTGTCGAAAGAGCCGAGTTATAGCAGATCCCTCATCCCAACTACAAAATCCTAATCACTACATAGGTCCTGCTCGAGTAGATCTTAATAAAGACAACAAAAGCTTTTCCACATTCGCTGTAGAACGCAGTGTCGATTGTGTCATTCCGACTATACCACGAGCAGTGACAGCGAGCATATATTAGTGAACACGTCAGGTGTCGTCACAATGAGACAAGCGCCAGTGACACAGTCCCTCAAAGGAAATACAAAATCCTGCAGCTGTTCAGCAGACACATAAGTCTGAATAAAGACATGACAGACATCTATTCAGTAATAGGCCACTGGCCCAAAATACATTCATAAATATAATAAAAAGTTACATGCGTTTTACCAGGGAGACTATATAATGTAGATTTTCCCTGGTTTTACATAAAAACGTCAGAATCTCTTATTTTCCCAACATTATATAAAAATAGGCACAAATTATTTATAACATTTATGTTTATAAAATAGAATGTTTCAAATATTTACCCAGAAACTTATTCCTTATATCTAAGTAGGCTTTACAATAAAGTAAAACATGTCTTTCATCTTCAATTAAATTAAGATTATTTTTGTAGCAAAAATGACAGAATCTTGAATAATAAGGGACATTGTTATATCTACCGGTCTCAGAACTAAGTTTAAATTTACCGCATCTAAATTTTGTTAAACAATTTCTTAAATATGGGGCAATACCTAAACTGAGATAAGTTTCAACATTCAGGAAGGACTTGAAAAGAATATAATTAGAACACTTGGTTGTACTATGTAGGGATGAGTACCAATCTTGTGAAAGATTATCACACAATCTTTGCTTAAAAACAGAAATGAAACCATCAATATCTCCAATATCCTGTGAAATCCAAGCAAAGCCAAAGCCAAATCTAAATAAAATATTCTTGATATGAGATGCCCATGTCGTCCCTCCAGATTCATCCAAAGACTTAAGCATTAAATAAAACTGATGAGGTAATCTACAACTTGGAAGAGTTAAAAGTCTACACCAATATTTAACTGCCCTTGACATATAAGTAAGTTGAAGAGGGAATCTGCCACATTCACCAAGAACCATATTGTTGCATGTATTTTTACCAACTTTTAAGAAATATTTACATGTCTTTATCTGGATTTGTTCAATGATTTTACAATGGGTAACACCCCAAATTTCTCAACCGTAACAAAGAATAGGTTTAACCATAGCATCAAATACTTTAAAAAGATCCACACATGACAGATAACCTACTCTTTTTTTATATCTATAGATAGCCATAAGGGCTTTATTGGCTTGAGAAGCAAGAGTAGTGTGAGCTTTAGTCCAAACTAGCCTAGGAGTGAACACAATACCCAAGTACCTGTAGTATGAGACAACTTCCAGCCTTTGCCCATTAAGAAACCACTTTTCATACTGACTAAGGGGCCCGCTATTCCTGAAAACAATAACTTTAGTCTTATTAATATTGACCTTCATACCGGTGAGTTGACAAAAAATTTCAAGCCCATGAATCTTCTTCTGAAGCTGGAGAGCAGTATCCGAGACTGAGGAAACATCATCCGCAAACATTAGAGCATATAGATTATTAACATCAGGTGTAATAAATATACCACGGCCACCAAATTGCTCCATACGTTCCATAAGCTGATTAATAAAGATAATAAACAATTGGGGACTGAGGATGCAACCCTGCCTAGTACCTATACTACAATCAAAATAGCTTGAAAGGCCTTGAGATGTTCTGACACAAGCTGACAACCTACCATACATTGATTCAAGGATGTTATAGAATTTACCACCAACACCAACTTTTTAGACTTGACAGAAGAATTTTATGATTAACTGTATCAAAGGCCTTTGAGAAATCTATAAACAGACAATAGAACCTTCCTTTCTTCTTACATGAATATTTCTGTACCATAGCTTGAAGTGAGAAAATGTGGTCAGTAGTAGAATAATTACTCCTGAATCCTGCCTGAGCTTCATGAATAATATTCTTCTCCTCACACCAAACCTGTAACCTACTGTTAAGAATGGAAGTGAATATTTTACACACAGAATCAATAAGAGAGATACCTCTATAATTATTGGGGTTACTTTTACACCAGATTTGTAAAAGGACAGATAATGCTTTTACCCCAAAGCACCGGAAAAATACTGTCTTGGAAAATCTTGTTAAACAACACTGTAAAATAATTGCTGATAAAAGTCTTAGAAGCTTTACTAAAGTCAATTGCAATACCATCTGGTCCAGGAGACTTATTTTTTGCCAGTTTATCAATGTGAAGTAAGACTTCGTTTTCAGTAATGTCACAATTTAATGTTTTTAGCTCTTCATCCTTGATGGACTCTGAATTGATATCACTGTCATACTCATTACCAGAATTCTCAGTTAGAAGCCCTGAGAAGTAACTGAACCAGTCTTCACAGCTTATATTGTACGTAGTGTCACATGTTGAGGTTAAACCTGATTGCTTTAATGTTTTCCAGAATTCCTTTGGGTTGTCTCTTGCTGCAATAAGTTTCTCTTTTTGTACATCGAAGTATGCTCTTCGTTTGCTGTTAAAAGTCTTCTTGAAAGATTTACGTAGAGTTTTATAAATCACAATATCCAAGTTAGTGTCTCTATGATCTCTTAATGCTTTATATTTCAGATGGTTTAATTGTTCGAGTTCTTGGTCCCACCATGGGGGTTGAGGTTTAGAGTTAATATCATGGTAACCTGAAAATATCTTCTTATTGTGGTCTGCAGCTCGCTGATACAGTTCAGTGAAAACATTTAATGAATCTTCAATATTGGTGTCTATACAGTGATATAATTTACTACGTAGATTTTCAAACAATTCTTGGAACTTAGAGATAAATAGATCACAGAGCTCTCCATTCCACACATATTTAGTCCATATTGTTGTTGAATTACTCTCTGCAGAATTACTAGTTGGAGAATTTGATAGTACAG